GTTCAAACCTGCCCGCCACTGTGCAGAAGAAAGATGAAGACCGTCTACTCCAGTGAAGATTTAAAGTCTTGGAAACCCAAAGAGATCTTTGTACTCTGTCCTATAGGATCGCTATGAGTCAGAGGTTTTGTTTTAAAATCTGGAAAAAGGAACAACTCAAGAAGATAGAAAGTCCCAGTGTCTTATCTACACTGCCTCCTTAATATGCATACGCCATCTCCTCTTTCTCTTGTTGGACAAAGGTGGCGATCTCTAAGGAGCTTAGGATTGCTTAGGATCGCGTGGAAGAAAACATCCATCTACAGATATCTATGCATAGACAAGTATAAGAACAGCATAGGTGCTTGCAAAGGAGCTGTAACATGGGTCAGACATGGCTATCATTTGGTGGGGTCAAGGCTATTCATCTGGTACGGTCAAGGCCAGACTGGGTGACCTTGCAGAGCCTTTCTGAAAGTCATTGATTCTGTGATCACGCCAGAAAACCAACCAACAAACCAAGAGAAAACACCTCAACACCACTGAGTTGATGCCAATCCTGTAAGACAGGATAGCGCTGCCCCTGTGGGTTCCCAAAACGATAACTTTTCAGGGGAGTAGAAAGCCTCATCTTTCTCCCAAGGAGCAGCTGATAGTTTCAAACTGCTGATCTTGTGGTTAGCAGCCTGATGTGTAACCACTGTGCCGCCAGGGCTCTCCTCTGTAACTCTGCCAACAAGCCATCCCCTTCTGTAGTCTTTCCCTGCAGTGCCCCAGGGGTTGCAATCCCAAATTACCAAGCAGTTCCCTTGTTGAATCTTTCTCAAAAAATGGGTACCTCCCTCGGCCATTCCCTTCAGAGCGACAGTGGGCAAGCTAGCCGGCTTCTTGTGAAGCCAACTAAGCTTGGACAAGCCATCTGGCAATGAGGCAGGTAGGTAGCACTCCACTCCAGGGACGACTTCTTGTTCTGGTTTGAGTTCCTGTTTCCCTACCTGACAGGTCAGGTTTTGTTGCATTTAGAATTAGAATTTAGGCCAGGCTTTAGGAGCATGGGCTTTCTACTTTGGTAAACAGCTACTGTCTCGGAAACCCACAGGGGCAGTTCTACCCTGCTCTATAGAGTTGCTATGCGTCGCCATCTTCCTCAATGGCAGTGAGGGTTGGTTTGTTTTTATGTCCCTCAGGAGTCCTGGTGGGCTACAAATTGGGCTGCTAAACACAATGTCAGGAGTTCAAGCCCACCAGTGGCCCCAGGAGGGAAGGATGAAGCTGTGTGCGCCTGTCAAGATTTAAAGTCTCTGAGGTTCAAAGGAACCGTTTTACTACATCCTAGAGGGCTGCTATGATGCAGGAGCGATGTGGTGGCACCGAGTTTGAACTTTGGGGGGTTTATGTCCTGAGAAACTCAGTTTACTCTCTCACCTCTTCCCTATATTGCAGGATGCTCAGCAGCTGCGCAGACCCACCGAGACCTTGCCCCTGCCCCTGATGCCTCAGGAAAAAATGTCCAGATCTCTGCTGAAACCCGTCTTCCCTGTGACCCTGATGGGCCATCCGGCCCCTAAGCAGCAGCAATGGTTTAGGTGAGGCTCTGGCTTTTACTCATTTTCTTTCTCCTCCTCTTCTTTCTTTTTCCTCCTTCATTTGGGCTCTCTTCAGTACAATCTGACAAAAACGTTGGGACTGCCTACATGCAGAACCACTGATGACCCAGCTTCCTTCTGTGACCCTGATTGCACGTGCACGCTAATGAAAAGGGAG